GGGCATGTACCTGCACGGCCACGGCTCGGAGCAGGCGTCGAGCAGCGCTGCGGCCGCACCTTCGTCGTCGTCGGCGGCCACGGCGACGGCGACGGGCGGGGCTGCTTCGGCGTCTGCGTCGGCCGCCTCGAGCGAGCAGGACAAGGGCCAGGATCAACCCATGGACCAGCTGTGAGACTGCGGTGCTGCCCCCGCTTTCGAGGCTTTGCATCTGCACCCTGCACCGTCGTCACCGTCGTCGAGGATCGCAGCCTCGTCCTCTATCACCTCTCTCATCTCTATCAAAGCATGGCCAACAGTAATGGGCTCAGCTCTGGCCCGCATGCCTCGCCGTCATTCGCCACGCATCGTCCTTTGCCTTTCCATTCCGCCTCGAACGCTTCCTTTCCTCTCCCGTCGCTCGTCTGCCTTTTACGCTCTTTTCCACACCTCAAAAGCTAGCTAGCCAGCCAGGATGGGCGGCGTGTCGCCGAGAGGGAGGAAGGCAGGGAACTGGAGATGCAGGCATCTCGAGGTTGCCGTCCCTCTCTGCAGACTCGCCGACCCCCTTGTCGCCATCGCTGTCACCGTCGACGCGCAAGGTCGAGGGCTGGCCCTCGTGTCGTCTGGCCCACGCTATACCACACCACACTGTCTCTTTGCGATCGTCGTCCGCTTCCTCTGCCTGTTCCCCTCTGTCATCTCAGTGACTATGCCAGATTCGACTCATCTGCGATTTCGACAGCGTGCGATGGGCGGGCGCGATTGCGGCCGTCGTGGTCACAAGGCTGGGCTTTCGAGGACCTGTTGACGAAAGATGGGTAAAGTCCGGTGGCGACATGTCGGATATCTCGTCAGACGGGGGCATTGATCGGCCAGACCCGGAGCGGCGCGGGGAGGGATGAGCTGAGCAGGCGTGGCCAGCGCGAGGCTGCTTGGCCAAGGAAGCCCCGCCGCCGACTGTCTTCTCCACATGGCCCGCGCCAGCTCAGCTCGAGTCAGGCCAGCCAGGCAGGCAGCCAGGCAGGCAGCCAGGCAGGCAAGGGCGCGCCGGCGGAAAGGCGGGCCGAGGGTCCATGACGTGACGTTGGCTGCTTCGCTCAGCAGGCAGACAGACGGGCGAGCCCAACCCAAAAAAAATCAGGCAACCGAGGAAGGGCGCGGGCCTGCCTCTGGAAGTTTCATGGCCGGCCAGCTGGCACAGCAGAGCAGACGCGGGGCGGGCAGCGAGCTTACGCTTGACTCTCATCCCGAGTCTTCTTGGGCCCCTCTCTGCCACGCCTTCCACCATCGTCCTCTAACTACCGCTTCACACTCAACCCCGCTGCAGCTTCGTCTTGCCTCTTCTCTTCTCTTCTCTTCTCTCGACCTCCATCTTTGATTTTGCCTCACCATCGCCCCTCTTTCTCATCGCTCTGCTACATCCACCGCGCTCGCACCTCGACGTTGCAGTGACGCCAGGCTCACCCCTCGCCCACGCCAGCATGGCCACCTATCCGACCGAGCCGCTACCCCTCTCGCTCTCCCCTCCCACCAACCAGCTCCTCGATCTCCTCGCCGGCGCCACAAAGAGGGTCACGTCCCCGCCCCACAGCGCATCCTCGTCCACCTTGCAGCATCACCAGCACCACCACAACCACCGCCAACAGCAGGCCCAGCAGCAGCAAGCGCAGTCGCAGCCAAATGGCACACGCTCACGCACAGTTTCTGGCAACCTAAAGACGCCCACAAAGACCAACCAGCCCAACGGCCAACATCGCAACCGCGCACCCTCGTCGGTCAACGGCAGCAGCGACACCCATAGCGATCGCGGCTCCACGTCGCCCAACGACGCCGCCGCATTCAAGTCGTTCCAGCAGCTCCTCGACAATGCCGCCAGCCAGCTCGCTTCCCCAGCCGCTTCGCCGCAGCAGCCGCCCAAGCCCGTAGACGCGACTGTCGCCCCGCGCAACGCGGACAGCCCCCGAGCCAAGCCGGACACAGCTTCGCCCAGTCGGTCAACGCAGGACGTCAATGCGCTCATGCAGCAGTTCCTGGGCGGACCCAACTCGGTGGCAGCCGAGAGGGAGCCTTTCTCGAGAACGAAGCCTGCCAAGAGCCAGAATGACGCGACAACCCCCGCAACCGCTCAGGTGCAAGCAAACGGCCACGTCGACTCGGAGCTCAAAGGGCACTCTGCTGCCGAGAGCCAGGATCAGGCAGAGACCAAGATCCAAGCCGCTGGAGACGTCAAGGCCAAGTTGGCCGGAGAGCATGCCGGCGAGGGACCGCACGAGGTCCCCGCACATCAGCAGGCAGCCATCGTCCCTGCGCCTGAGCCCGCCCAGCCCGCCGCTCCAAGTGGCCTCGGCCTCGAGAGCGCCAGCGTCTCCACTCCCACCAAGACGCCTTTCGACTTTGTCAGCGCCTTTGACCTACTGGCTGAGCAGCGTCCATCTGCCTCGCCGCGGCCGCAGGCGCAGCACGACGGTGTGCAGCAATCGCCTTCGCGACGGGCGGACGCAGATGCAAGCTCGTCTCCTGCGGGTTCGCCCGAGACAGAATCACAGCGAGAGCCCGACGCAGGCATTCCGCCGCCAGAGCAAGCAAAGCAGCAGCCAGGATCAGACATCGAGGGCTGGTCCGCAGCAAATCAGGGCATCGCAAATCTACTGGCCAAGCTGCAGTCTGCCGCTCCGGCCCTTCCCACCAGCACCGAAGCAGCAACGCCAGCACAGGAGACGCCAGAACAGCCGTCACGGTCCGAGTCGCAGGCGCCTGCTTCTCGCACCGCTGAGTCCAAGAGTGACGATGCGACGAGCACGAGACACGTCAATGGCGACGCGTCTGGCAAGCTCGAGCATGCGATATCGACTCTGCCCGCCGTCCCTGGCGATCTTGGCGAAGCCGACGAGGCACTCCACGCAGCCAACCACGCTGCCTCGCTGAGGGCAGTCGGGGCATCCGCCTTTGACGATGCCAAGACCTCGGGACTCTCGATCCTTTCGCCCTCTCGCGCTTCCAACACTCCACGCCACGTCACGCTCGACCTGTCGGCCAAGCAGCCCGCGGGCCTGTCGAGCCTCTGTCCAGCCAAGATCGAGACGTCCGGCGTGGCGCTGCTGCCTACTACGTTTGCCTTCCAGTGCAGCGTCTCGGCAGGAGGCTTGTTGCCCGCGTCCAAGGTCGCCAGCCTCGGCGCAAACGTCGCATGCTACGCGATGTCGAAGGGCAAGGTCCGCCTCATCCACTTTGAGACGGGAGAGAGGACGCTGTTGAGGAGCCCACAGCGCGCCAACCTGCGCACTCTGGTGGCTTTCCAGCCTGTCAATGCGGACGATCGCCGGCCCTACCTGATGGCCGCGCTCGGCGACAACGTCAAGGGGTCGCAGGAGGACGAGCTCCTCGTCTGGCCCGTTTCGGCGTCCTTTGTCGACGACGGCAGCGCGACCGAGGAGCCCGAGGTGCTGCTGCGCATCTCGGCCAAGCACGAGGATGGGGCTGTTCCGCTCCGTCGCTTCACCGGCATCGCGTGGCACCCCACTGATCCCAAGCTTGCGGTTTCGACGAGCGACAACACGATCATCGTCCTCGACGTCGACCAGCTTAAGGGCCAGCTGCAAGAGCCGCAGATCGACTCCCCGGCGCGCAAGGTGGTGGTCGCCGAAACGGGCCCGCTCGCTGGCTGGGCCTTTTCGGCGGACGGTGGTCTCATTGTCTCCATCGCCAGCGAGGAGAAGAACACCTGGAAAATCCAGGTCCACAATGCCGACGCCGCGGCGCAGGAAACACCCCTCGAGTTCAGTGTCGCCCCGCCTGTCGAGGCACGCGACCTCGTCGTCAGCCACATTTCCGCGATCGGCGACGATGCGAGCCCGGTCAGGACGATTCTCGTCGGATTCGAGCGCAACACCGTCCTCGCCCTATTCGACCTCGTCTCGCGGTCGTGGAAGCACGCTTTTAGCTTCCGCATCCCCTCCTCGGTGCCTGCGCATCTCTCAGCATCGCACTACAACCTCCTCGCTTTCGATTGCATGACCGACACGCTGCTCATTGCCAACAGCCTCCGCTCGTCGATCTTCGCCCTCCGCTTCGAGTACGACTCGCTGCCGTTGCCGGCGACAGACGAGGAGGCGGCATCGCCACTTGCGAGGCTGAAGAACCGGCTGCAATGCGGGCAGCAGCCCTGGAGCGTCAAGCCCGTCACCCAGATGCGCGAGTGCGCCGTCAACGAGCCTTGCACCGCCCTTTCAATCGTCCGGCGAACCGAACGCGGCCGTTCGACCTGGGCGCAGAGCGAGCTGCGCCTCTTCGTCGGTCATGCCGAGGGTGTCGATCTGGTGTACCTGCCCCTCGCCGCGATTGGCGCCAAGCTGGGCGAGCAGAGCGGCGCTGCTGGCCAGCCTGCCGTCGTCATTGACGACGATTCGGACGCCCCTGCTGCTGCTCCTTCGTCCATGTCTGCGCTCAGCACCCCTCGAGCTGCTTCCCCGCAGGCTGGCAGCGTCGCCCCTCTTCCTCAGCAGAGTGACCAGCAGGTGTCCGGATCCGAGGCCAAGCCAAAGAGGAAGAAGAAGTCCAGGCCCGGCAAGAAGTCGAAGGCGGCCGACGACGAGGAGAGCGCCACCGGCAGCGAGCCTCCCTCGCTATCCTCTTCACGGATCGCTCTGGCTGCATCTGGCAACCCTGTCGTCGCTAGCGAGGACGTCAAGACACCCACCCCTGCCTCTGTCGGCAAGCTCGCAGCTGTCAACGGCGTTAGCCACGATGCGCGCAACGACGCCGCCGACCTCGCACGCCTCGAGAGCCGGCTGTCGACGATGCTGCGCGATGCGCTCAAGGGCGCCACGCCCGCGGTCACCTCGGATCAAGCAAGCTCCATGATCGACGCCGAGCAGCTGGCCATCGCCGTGGCTGGCGAGATGACCGACACCATCTACGATGCGCTCGCCTCGGCGGTCAGCGATGCTACCAATGACACGCTGGCCAACGGCATCCAGAGCAGCGTGGCCGGCGCCCTGCCCGTCGAGCTCGAGAAGCTGATCGGCCGCCCCGAGATCCAGGATCACCTGACGCGTGGCATCGCCAAGTCGATTCTGCCGGCGGTCCGCCAGACGGCCGTCGAGGTGGTCAGCAAGGTCCTCGCCCCGCACTTTGAGGAGGTGATGATGGACGTCGGGCACCGCGTCGAGGCGGCCATCGTGTCGGAGATGACGAACGTCCGCAAGTCGATGTCTTCCGAACAGAGCGACGCGTTGAAGGACACCGTCGAGACGAGCCGCGCCATCGCCGCGGGCATGGGCGAGCTCCTGAACAAGCTCAACGAGGTCTCGAAGCGCAACGCCGAGCTGGAACAGATGGTCCGAGCATTGTCGCCGCCCTCGGAGCACGCGCACTCAGAGGAGCACAAGGTTGCGCCCGAGGCTGCAGCATCGGCCGTCGTTGCGGCTTCCGCCCCCGCATCCGCCTCTGCGTCGGCGAAAGCTCCCGCCCAGGCCCCCGGTTCAGCTGTGGCTCAAACGGCGCCCAAGGAGACCAAAGCGGTCAACGGCAGCTCGGCCAAGGATGGCTCGTCGCAGGCCCACCGCTCAGCCTCGCCCGCTCCGCGACGCAGCAAGAAGGACAACAGCCCCACCGAGCCATCAGCGGCCAAGAAGGCCAAGACCGCGGAGGTGGCCGTCGTCGCCAAGAAGGCCGATGCCGCGCCCGCTGTGGACCTCAAGGCGGTCAAGGCGATCCTGCCCGACCGCATCGCCATCGTCGGCGCCGGACCCGTCGGATGCCTGGCCGCACTGGGCTTCGCGCAGCGCGGATGCAAGGTGGATATCTTTGAGTCTCGACAGGACCCCAGGACGGCCGAGGCGATCAGCAGGTCGTCGCAGCGCAGCATCAACCTGGCCATCTCGACGCGCGGCCTCACCGGTCTGCGCAGCGTCGCCGTCGTCGGGCTGGGCAAGGATGCCGCGACGGGTCTCGAAAAGGACCTGGCCGACACCGTGCTCGACGAGGCGGTGCCGATGCGGGCGCGCATGATCCACACGGTGACGCACCGCGGCAGCGGCAGCTCGAAGCGCTCCGTCGTCAGCGAGAACAGCCAGGCGTACGGCGCCAACGGCGAGTGCATCAACTCGGTCGACCGCAGCCGCCTCAACAATCTGCTGCTGCAGCACGCCAGCCAGCACCCGCTCATCGACGTCCACTTTGACTGCCGCCTGCTGACGATCGACTTTGAGCACGACCTCCGCGGCGGCGCCAAGCGGTACGCGGATGCCGAGGGCGACGTGGCAGAGCAGAAGCAGCAGCATGCCATCGCAAGCACCAAGAAGAATGGCGGGAGGGCGGGTCAGCAGCAGCAGCAGCAGCAGCAGCAGCAGCAGCAGTCGGTCGCCGCCAGCGACCGCGTCCGTCTCGACTTTGACGTGCACATCAACAGCAAGAACAAGCACACCGTCACCCGGTACGCTGGCCTGGTGCTCGGTTGTGACGGTGCCCACTCGGCGGTGCGCACGGCCATGGGCAGCATGGTGCGGATGGGCTACTCGCACGAGTACGTCGACAACGGCTACGTCGAGCTGTCGATCCCGCCGCGCACCTCGCTGGGCGCCGGCAGCCGGCTGCGGGGCAACGGCGGGCTGGACGGCAGCCGGGGAGGCCACGACGCCTGGTCGATGGACCCCAACCACCTGCACATCTGGCCGCGGCGCGACTTTATGCTCATCGCGCTGCCCAACCGCGACGGCAGCTTCACGTGCACGCTGTTTGCGCCGTTCCGCATCTTTACCGAGCACCTGTCGTCGAAGCGCAGCATCCTGGCCTTTTTCGACGAGCACTTCCCCGACGCCGTCGACCTCATCGGCCGCGACCGGCTCGTCGAGGACCTGCTGGCGCGCAGGCCGAGCCCGCTCGGCAGCGTCAAGTGCAAGCCGTACCACTACCGCGACCGCGCCATCCTGATCGGCGACTCGGCGCACGCCATGCTGCCCTTTTACGGGCAGGGCCTCAACTGCGGCTTCGAGGACGTGCGGGTGCTGCTCGAGAAGATCGACGCGGCGGCTGCAGATGCGGCGGCGGCGGCGGCGGTGATTCGAGGAAGGGACGAGGGCGGCGATACGGCGACCGGGACGACGACGGCGACGACGACCATGACGCCGCTGCACCGCGCGCTGGACTCGTACACGACGACGCGGCATCCGGACCTGCTGAGCATTGTGCAGCTGGCGTCGGACAACTACCAGGAGATGGCGTCTTCGGTGATTTCGCGGGGCTACCTGCTGCGGAAGCGGCTCGACGGGCTGCTGATGAAGGTGCTGCCGCGGTGGATGTGGCAATCCCTCTACATGATGGTGACCTTTTCCAACCTCGGGTACGCCGACGTGGTGCGGCGCGAGCGGCGGCAGCAGCGCATCGTGCGCGACGGCGTCGTCGTCGGCGTCGTTGGCTGCGTCGGGCTGGCGGGCCTGGGCGTCTGGAGGACGAGGGAGGTGTGGAGGCCCGCGCTGCTCGGCGTGCGCGAGTCGCTGGCCAAGGGCCTGTCGCGATGAGCAAAGGGTAGCTTGATTGACGAGGCAGACAATCTAGGTAGACGGAGACGACGACGGTCAATTGCACAGTCTTTTGCATTCCATCTTTGCCGTGCTGTGCTGTGCCGTGCTGTGCTGTGCTGTGCCGTGCTGTACTGTGCGGTGCACTCTGTCATCCTCTCTGCGTCGAGAGGAAGGCATGGTGAACGGTGACTCTGACCGTCGACGGTGGCGGACGCATGGAGTCATCGAGGGACTGACTGAGCTAGCGGTCGGCCGAGTGGGGCTGGTCATCTCGAGGCGCGGCTCCGAGAGGATCAGAAGGGGTCCACTTGTGAAGCCCGAAGAATGAGGGCCTTGAAGGTAATACCAAAGTTGCCGCACTCTCTAGGCTTCGAAAACAGGAAAAACTGCCGAGGCCATGCGATCTGGCAGCAGCTGGCAGTCACCCGGCGGCGGAAGAGAGCCTGCTCCCGGCGCTGGTTCCCCGAATTCGTAACTCGCCAAAATCCTGGCAACCGAGCGATTTTCCGAAAGCGGCGCAACCGGTTGATTTTCGAAAAGCGAGGAAATCTTGCGAAGAGCTGAGTTGCGGAAACTTGAAAAGCCCCGGGCCTATCTTCTCGGCCGTGTCGTGTCCAGCAGGCAAGATGACGTTCCGCGGCAATTTGGCCGAGGGCAGGGCAGGGTTTGGCACAGGATCGATGCGAGGCAGCGAATGGAGGATGCCATGCCATGCACCACGTTGCATCGAGGGTGCGTGCGTGCGTGAGGAATTAGCGCAGATCGTCCTCGCCTAGAGTCGGCACGGCTGGCTGGCTAGCGCTGGCAGGGCGGGCTCGATTTCGGCATGTCACAAAAGGCTAGGCTGCTGCTGCTGCCTTGGCTCAGCAACCAAAGGGCCGCTGTACGAGGATCGAATGGCGAGACACAAAAGAGAAAAAAACAGAGATAGAGGCACCGTAGGGAAGCGCAGCCGCGCGGAGGCTGAGAGGCCGGTTCGATGGCTGCGAGCGAGGTCGAGGGGCGCTAGGCTAGGCTAGGCCAGGCCAGGGCTTTGGTCGGACCGCCGGCAACAGGGCTGCGCTGCGCTTTGCATGCATGTTACGAGATGGACGGACGGACCGACCGACGGACGGTCGATGGGCGAGAGAAGAGCGAGGTTGGTTGGTTGGTTGGTTGGTTGGTCGGTTTGGTGGCCGAAGCTAGGGAAGAAATGACGCAGCACCCCCTTCTGCGCCATGCCATGCCATGCCATGCTGGTCCCTCGCTCCTTATGTTTTTTCTCGCGGGCTCCTTGCTTGCTTGCCTCGACTACTCTGGAGACCTCAAACTGCACCGGTTTGGCGTGGTGCCGGTCGGGACGGTGTTACCGGGCGCGATTTTGGGGGGTCCAGCCATGTTGGCTGCTGCGCCCGTCGCCGTTCGAAACGGACGAACGAAGGGCCATGGGTGGGTGGGTGGCGTGGGGGAGGCGCGGGATGCAATCGATGATCTCTTGCTTGTTGGCACTGGCTGGGCTGATCTGGATCTGACACACGCAGATGCACGCACGGCGAGAAGAGAGGCAGATGCTGGCCCCCTGGTCCTGGTCCTGGTCCTGGTCCTGCCCTGGCCATGCGGCTAAGAAGAAGAGAAGAGAGAGGGAGAGGGACAAGGATCGATTTTGGGATTTTCCAGGCGGGGCGTCCAGGCCACCAACCCCGCGTGGGTCGGTGCCAAACCCTTGCGTGGCCTGGCTGGCTGCCTGGCTGGCTGGCTGACTGGCTGGCTGGCTGACTGGCTGGCTGGCTGGCTGACCCCGCCTTCCTCTCTCTCTCTCCTGTCCTGGCCTGGCAGGCCTGCGCCACCTACCTTTGCTGTACCGTACCTGGCTGCCGGTGGTCGTTGCTTTGTTGGTTTCCTTCCATCTTGCAGATGCCACCTTCCGGTTGCCTCTCCTGCCGTCAGCTCCAGCGCCAGCGCCAGCACCACATTCACCACCGCTACCACTGCCACCACCACCACCGCAGCCAGATTACGCTCCTGCACACCCCTGTTTCGTCATCCCCGTCACCTCGGCCGACACCGCGCTCCCCGTATACCCAAGCCCATCCCCTCTCTGCACCGTCCGTCTTCCGGCCTTTTTCTCGACCCCCACTTGCTCGCCGTCGGTCCTATCTCTCGCATCCCATCCTCCGCAGCCTGCAGCAGCCCTATCGCGCCCAACGGCCATCGGCCAACGGCCAACCTGCAACCACAACCGACACCCTCGCCACCATCCCGGCCAGCCCGTTTCTCCTTTGTCGGCGCCCCACGCCCCATTGACCGTCATCCTCGAAGCAGCGCCCTGCCCCTAGCTTCCGCCGCCTTGGCTTCCTACTTGCCCCTCGCTCATAATCGCGCCCTCGGACTCTGGTCACACAGTCAGCCGGACATGGTTGCACAGCGCTCCTGAGGCTCGGCGCCTTTCGGGCTCTGGCTCCTCATCGTATCCACACCCTCCCAGCTCAGCTCAGCTCAGCTCGACACCCGACGCCCTCTCCCTCGTCGACTCCCCTTCGCCACCTCTCTTGAGCCGCTCGCGACCCTTTTGCCAACAGCGCACCGGAACAGTCTTTCGATGCTCACCCTCAACCCCTAACCTTCGTGGTCCATTGCCGGTCGATACTCCGTTGCCGCGGCTGTCGATCCAAGAGGTGACGCTTGAATTCACCCGAGCAGCTCCTCGACCGCCACAGAGGATCCGCTGTTGTCTCTGCCCTTCGTCGCCCACAACCTCCTCGTCCACCTCATAATGCCCCTGATCCAATTCGCCACGCCGCCGACGCGCGAGTCGGCCTTCCAGGGCGGGCGCCCGCCGGCTCGGTCGGACCAGGCGCACCATCTTCCTGCCCCTTCCAGGTCGCCATTGCCGCCGTCGCAGACTCAACAGCAGCAGCGACGGCAGCAGCCTCAAGCGCCACCTGCGGTCGCAGCAACGGCCATCTCCCAACCCGAGCCGCTCGGGCGTCCATCTGCGACGGCCGCAGAGGTGCAGCCGGAGCCGCTCACCTTTGAAAAGAGGCCGCTGGCACGCACGCCTTCGTCTCCAGAGCCCGCTGAGAACAAGCCTCAGCCTACCTCGCCTGTTCAGTCCACCGACCTCGCGGCTGGGACCTCGGCAGCCACCACCTTCCTGCCTGCTTCTGGGCTCTCCGCCCGTGAGCCAAAGAGCTTGCTCGCCGATGCCCTTTCGAATCACAGGCCGCAGAGGCCTGCACTGCCCTCCGCCGTATCCAGCGGCATCCTCCGAAAGGATCGTGGCGCCGACTCGCCCACATCGCTTGCCTCTGCGAGGGAGGCACACACAACCGACGACGACGTCGCGCCGCGCGATACTCGCACCCCCATCACGCCTCTCAAGACGCACTTTGTCGAGCCAGTCAAGCCGCGTCGCTCGCCGTCGCGCTCGCCGCCAAGGCACGCCGCGGCGAAAGGAGACAGGCCAACTTCACAGGGTGCTCCGAGGCAGACCGCAGTCCGCCTGCATCGCTCGGAACAGGTCGACCAGCACCTCACGCTCACCGAAGAGAGGGTCGCTAGCCTGGGCTCCGAGCCGCCGGTGCTGACGCGGCGTCGCTGCCTCGTCTTCCAGGAGAGCTCCGACGTTCTCGAGCGCGCAGCCGAGCGGGCCGCTCGCCTACGCCAGAGCCGACGGCTCGGTGCCATGGCNTGCCGT